TTTCGATTTCATTTTAGCATCTCTTTTGTTTTATTGATACCTGGGTTTCTGTTAGGGAGATTTCCTTTCACTTCCTATTACAACAGGAAATGATCAACAATCTCTCATAGGCACATAACAGTAAGTTAAATATGTATTTTACAAGACTGTTCCCTCTGCAGTCAACCTCAAGCACTGCTGAGCAATCTACGGTAAGAGAGGCTTAGTCCAGTGTACAAATCCAAAAAGCCATAAAAAACCTCTTATACAGAGCAAGCATCATCAGAAATATTGACTGTGTTGGGAGAGAAGAGAAAGCAACTAATTGAATCTTGTCACAGAGAAGAACATGATAGAGTATAATATGAGACAAATTCCACTGTATGCCCTTTAATTTGACATGGCCCAATGTTACTTTCACATGACACCTCATATCATCACACATACAATCACCCCTCTACAACATTGCCACCCTACACGCATTATCCTACATACACTCACATTCCGCTATGGCCCCATACAGAGCACTCCTCAGTTCTTTCACTGATGTCACTCCATCCACATCGCCCTTACAACCATTCTACCATAACTCATAAAAAATACATGTGGAGCTGTTGTAAAGCATTCAGCCAATAAGGGAGAAAAAAAGGGAATTTCACTAGGGTTACATATTCTTCAAATGAAACTATTTTTTTGGGTAGTTTTGCTGTGTTTTGTTATTTTATTGTGCAACTATTCTGTATATCAGCAGGTACTCATCCCAAAAAAGTATGGTCGCACTAAAAAGTGTATTGTAGCAAACAGATACACATCATCCCACCATGGATCCTCTTCACTCTGACATGTTTAACCCAATAATGGGCTTATCTCTGTGACTTTTCGGCGAAGCTTATGGTGTGCGACCGGACTCTTTTCTGTGAGTGACTGCTGATGCTGGAGCAAGATGGGCTCAGCCAGTGTGCACCCACCATTCTCTCAGTGCTGCTGTGAAGGAGCAAAGATAAAGCAGCCCTGATGCCTCTGCATAACTTGGCCACCCAAGACTATGGCCTTTGAAGCCTTCCCATGAATTGTGATCTTTCTAAAATATAAATAATTTTCATACTTAGGCTAGTTTCACACCTAGGCGACAGCTCACCGCGCAGAAATTGTGCACGATTCTGCGCAGATTGCCGCCCGCTCAAGAGTTGCCAAGGTGTAAATCGATCGCGCTGTGGCAGATCGCACGGTTTCCAGCCGCAATTCCGCCCGTGGTTCCGAACATGATAAAACAGCCGCGTGTCGTGTATCGCAAAAAGAAGGTACATGTACCTCTTTTCTGTGATTGCCGCAAGGATGTCACCACATTGAATTCAATGGGGGACGCGGCAATCTCTGCCTGCATTGTACAGGGCCGCGCAATCCTGGGACGCGCGTCCCAGGTGTTGTGCAGTGTAGTGCAGGTGTGAACCTAGCCTTAGGTTACTTTCACGTGGATACAGTAAGCAGAGTCAATGTAGTTTCAGCCAATATTCGGGCCACTCTGCTATCATTCCCTTATTAAAAGAATGCTCGGACACTTTGCAGAGACAGAGCCATGCAATATCAAATAAATAATAAGTGTATATAGAGCCATTAGGAACCTCTCCAACCAGGCATGGGTGGACGTTTGGAAGGTGCCTAAAATGTTTGACAAGCACCCCTTTTAGCGAATCTATCTATCTATCTATCTATCTATCTATCTATCTATCTATCTATCTATTTTTCTATCAGTACAGTCCGGCTCCTACCGGGTTCCCTGGGCTGTAACTCTTGTGATTGCACCTACATTGAGGCTTTAATATAATTCTAATAAGCTGTGGGTCTACAAGGTATTTATGCAAGGTTAACACAAAATTAGCCATTTCCTAGAATTAAAAGCTATATCTTTATACAATCAAATTAATATGCAAATGTGCACAGTCAGCAACAATTGAAAAAGTGACAACAGATACAATATTATATTTAGCATAAATAAGATTGTTCTTACAAAACCAAAACAGAAGAAATATGGACAAAATATTTAAGAGCAGTTAAGCATAAAAAAATGATTTATTTAAAAAAAATTATAATAAAAAAATTATTAACGAGAATAATTTATTAACTTAAACATTATTTAACTAAAATGTGTTCTATCTATCTATCTATCTATCTATCTATCTATCTATCTATCTATCTATCAAAGGAATATGTGAATGTATGAATACATTAATGAATAATTACATGAATGTTTTACTTTTACATTTCCTAAACCTTGAAAGTGCTGGTGGTCATGGGAACTCCATGACTGTTTATTACCAGCAGAACATTTAATTGCTCACTTGTCTGATGTGATAATGGAAGTCATTAGTTATGGAATTGTTTAGAGAATTGAGAGCTGGCATGGGCAGAAGGTCAAATCTAGCCATGCACTATTTTTGTTTTAAAAAAAGGAAATCTCCCATTGAGTAAGTGATTTTTTTCTTCCAGTCATGAAGCAGTGAAGCAGCAGCATGCTGGGGTGCCCGGTACTCACAGCATATTTGTTCCTTTATGACACTATCTCTGAGCTGTGTCTTTCCTTGTCTAACATGCTCTAATAAGCCTCTTGACGGTGCAGCAGCTCTGTAATAGCTCATTCATTTCCCCACTCAGGTTCTGATGAGAGAGGAGGCGGTGACGATGATGGTGCACTCTGCTTACTCATCAACATTGTCGGAGAACATTAAACACTACGTAGCCATGACATGCCTGTGACACTAGGCTGAGGTGATGCTGAAAGGGTAAATGGGCTACAACAAGCCTATATATGTATTTTTTTTTCAATACAATGCCCATTATGTGCAAAACAGAAAATATAGAGAAATCCAGAAAATGGTGTGTTATGTCTTAAGTATAAGTGAAATTTATTTTTAACCTCCCTGGTGGTATTCCCGAGTGTGGCTCGGGGTTAATTTTCAGTACCAAGAACGGTAACCCCGAGTCACACTTAGGATTGCGCAGAAGTGTCAATTACCTTGTCCCTGCAAGCCCGCGGTGCCCTCTGCTGTGTGCGCCCGGCCGATGCCGGCATTCGGCTTTCAGTTTCGAGGGGCGGAGCCAGCGGGAAATTCAAAAGTGCAAACATGACATTTACACAGAATACACACAATACAATGTAATCTGTTATAATTACATATATGTATCAAACTATTTTACGTCAATTTTGTCCCTAGAGCTTTTTCCAGTGCCCTGCATGCACTTTTACTGTACTCTATTGACTCTGGTACGGATCAGGCAGCGCCCCCCAGAATTCCCATTTACTGGACCATTTTTTTTAATTATTATATTATAATTTTTTATAATTATTTACAATATTATAATTTATGATTTCGTGTTTCAAACTTTATCATACCCGGGATGTCTACTGGACTCTTGTTTGGACAGATTTAGGTGAGTTATTCCTAAGATTTGCTAAGAATTACAGGCCTACAATATAAAACAACAAATTGCCATGAAAAACAATGTACCGATTTGGCATGCTAAAATCCTGCATAATCATACCGCCAGGGAGGTTAAAGAGCTAAATACAATATATTCCAGTTGCATCAAAACAAAAGATGTGCAAACTCTTACCGTTTGTTTTCTCTAGAAGAAGAGTAGAAAAGCCTGTCCCCTGCCAGCATGCTACAGTGTAGGACTCTTGCTCTTCATGTGGAAGCAGTATTGTTTCTGCAGAGATCTGACACACCCTCTGCTGATTCAGAGCTAGAGCTCTTCAACCAGTAGGGAGCATGAGCTTTGCTGTTTGGAGAGCTCTATCTTTGACTAAGCAGCAAATACAAAGGAGAAAAAAAGAATAGATTATTTTTGGTTCAAGCACATTTCACTTAAGCAACTTAATGAGCAAAACTCATTTCAGCAGTTTAGGCACTTTTATCTAAATCGCTCTTGTGATTCATGATCTCCATGAACAAGAAATGACGTGAGGTCCTTCATATGGTAGTGGGTCACAGATGCTGCTTCTTTTATTTTGAACAACTGTACAAACTAAAGATGAAGACATCTATGAGGAAGCGAAGGGAGTTTTTTTCCTCCTTCACAGGAGAAGTTACCTAACACCCCCAAGACCCCCTTTTGTTTTGAATTTAAAGTATATGTACAGTCAAAACGTTTTCTTAACATTTTCATAGAGTAGGGAAGAGTTTTAACTCCTATGAATTTATTTATTTGCTATCTGTGTCTCTTTGCACATGTTCTGTCCTAGAGGTGAAGCAGGAAGAGAAGGTAAGGGAAATTCTCCTCCTAAACAGGTGTCACCAGAACAGGTGTCCCCATGGGAAGATGTTCCCTCACTTCTTCTTTTGGTGAAACTAGAACATGCTGAATTTCCCATCACTTTCGGTTTTGAAGACCATGAGAGAGGAAGGGACATAGACAACTATGAAAACAAAAACAAAGGTTCTTACTTTTTCCCACTCCATCTAAGACTAAAAAAAAAAAATGGCTATAAATAGAACTTAAGCTGACACACCCGAAATCGGAGCTGGTAAGGGACTCCCAGATGGTGGGGTTACTTTTTACCCAAAGATGAGCTTCAAACTGGAGTTAGACTTTATATGTATATAAAGTTATACACATGTTTTATATATATTTATTTTTGTTATTATTATAATTTTTTTTACTTATGCATTTTCTTTTAAAGTGACATTAAATTCGGGATATTAACCTTAAAAATGCATTCAAGTACCTTTTACTTTTAACAACACTGGACCTTATTTGTGTATCACTCGGCTTTAGATCCTCAAATCATCTCTGAATTGCTGCTGACATTTCCCTTTCTTCTTGAGGGTGGCTACTTTTGTTCCCCATGGTCCCTGTGTTGAAAAAAGCCACCTCTCCAAGCTTGCTCCCACGAAGGACTACAATACCCATACAAATTAGTAAACTAAACGTGAAATTGTGGTCCACTATGAGAGTGAGCTTGGAGTGGTGGCTTTACAACACACAGGGACCATGGGGAACACAAGCAGCCACCCTCGAGAAGGAAGGACAGTGTCTGCACCAGTTCAGAGATGATTTGAGGATCTACAGCTGAGCAATACAGAAATAAGGTCCAGTATTGCTAAAAGTTTAGGTACCTGAATGCATTTTTAAGTTTTAACTCCCGAGTTTAGTTTCACTTTAAAGATTAGCCACACAATGTTTTACTTAGCTTAAAAGAGTTTATATAGATGTGTGCTATATTTGTTTCCACAGACCTCCAAGAAGAAAAGATCTATGTATGATTTTCCTAGCAGAAATGTTATTTATATCTTCCGTATTACATGATAAACTGATATACTGTTTACTGTGCAAGTTATTCCTTATCTGCATATAGACGGTATAAAGTAAAGTGAAAAAGCCCACCAGGAAACTTAGCTGCAGGGGGCCTATTTCTGAGTCAGAAAGAATATGATATCACACACCCACATATTACACTCTAAATATAAATAGAGTTGTTTTTTGATCAGTTCAGGGACTGTAGGGAAAATAAAGTGGAAAATAACATGTTTCATCTTTTCATTGCTTTTAAGATGTATTAAAGTCTACCATGACCACTGCATGATCCCCATGACTCATTAAAGTGTATCAAAACCCAAGAACAAATATGTAATATGTTGCAGCTTACCAGTTCTTAGATGTGGTGACTGCATTAGTTCTCTATTTTTCAGCATTGTATTCCTTTATTTATCCTGGTGATTCTGCCAGTAAAACAAACTCATCCTTGGGTGGCAACAGTACTCCATCTATGGAGTAGCAGCATCCTCACCCTAGGCTGCTCACTCCTGATGTGTGCTACAGAACATCTTCTCATTCTCTGCATCTCCATACCATAGCTAGGAGGTGTTCTGTATTGTTGGCTTGTTTAGCTGGTTCTCCTATGCTTTATACCAGGTGTAGCCAAACTCCGGCCCTCCAGCTGTGGTGGAACCACAGATCCCATGAGGCATTGCAAGATTCTCACAGCCACAGACATGACTCCCGGAGAGAGATGCATCATGGGATTTGTAGTTTCACCACAGCTGGAGGGCCGGAGTTTGGCTACCCCTGCTTTATACTCTGTTGTTGAATTTTTATTTTGCAAAAGTTGTGTTTGCTTTTGGGGTCTTTCAAGAGGGTCTTTGAATGTAAAATCAATTTATTTCTTAGTATTTTCTAATTCCTTGAAAAGGTATAAACTGCCCCTTTCTAACTTAGGTGGTGGCATAACAGAAAACTCTGTTTAGGCTTTTCCATGTATTTACATTTTCTTGTGCTGTAAAAAGGACCAGCTACTGAGACCCTGGGGTTGATTTACTAACCTTATAAACACACCACGAACATGTATACACCTCGGTAGTGTGTTCCCTCCCAGCATAATCTATGGGTGGAATCTAAACACCTTTGTAGTGTGTACACACGCAGCAGGTGTGTTGTGCAAAGCCAAGCATGAATTGCAAGGTGATGTTGTGTAAATTAGCTCTATGTTGTGTTGCTTGCGTTGATGAATGCAGGAATGTAAATGCATGAGCTAACCATTTTTGTCTAAACTGTGAAGCAGCATTATATATGCATCATGTGCATGATTTTTCCATATATGGCATTAGTGGAAATATGCTTTTAGAGACTTTTTGGTTGATAAATACGTTTTGCTGTGTGAAAATCACACGCACCTGGTGCGTGCATGTGTTTAGGTTAGTAAATCACCCCCCATGTATTAATCTATAAAAATGCTTCTTTGCGTGGCATCTGGAGACTGTCAGGGCACAGGGCATCACTGTATGGTCAACATCTACAAGAACAAGATAGCTTACAGCATACCAAGCCTTAAATATAATGTTTCATATCATGTGTAACACTTATAAGTAGTTATTACCTCTAACAGGGATTACAGTACCCCCTTGACAGGGGGGCATTCATCTGGTTTTCTATGCAGAAGGAAGACACCATCTTTGTTCAAGCACTATCTAATCTACCTTATGGACTAAATTGCTAGCTCAGAAGTTACGCAATCATGTAAATCGCTATGCTTATGCAGTTCTTGGCTGTGTTCACAAAAGTCTGACTCAGATTAACCCCTGCTGCAGCCTCTCATATTGTGACTTACTACAACTTTACAATGTTGCAGTCTTTTAACTTTGAAGGAAGAGAAAACTGAGAAAATGCTCCCTCCTGCCTACAGCAGACTAATAATATCTAGACCAGATTTCTCAACCTTTTTTCAGCTACAGCACCCTTTAAATGTATACACAATCTCAAGCCACCCCAGTCTTAAATTTCCAAAACATATTTTTTTTTTAAATGTGTGCCCCCCCCTTCCAAAACCCAAACCTTTTAAGCGGATACCCAATGTAAAAACACATTATTATTCTTTAGGATTTATATAGCGCCAACAGTTTGTGCAGCTCTATAAAATATAAGGAAGATATTACAATAACAATACAATTCAAGACAAGATGGTAAGGAGGGCCCTGGCCCTGAGTGCTTACAATCTAAAAGGGAGGGACAAGTGATACATGAGGAGGTAGCTGTTTGGGGATGAATGAAAAAGGGTTCTTCACATCAGAGTTCCCCCTTTAAATCAAGAGCCCCCCTTTCACATCAGACCCATCTCCTTTCACATTAGACCCCCTTTACATCAGGGGCCCCTTCACATTAGAGCTCCCTCCTTTCACATTAGAGCCTCCCTTTACAGGAGGAGCCCCTTCACATGAGAGTCCCCTTTCACATTAGGAGCCCCCTTTTCATATCAGAAGCCTTCGCTTCACATCGCTTAATATCAGGAACTTCAGCCCTGACAGCATGGCAGAAGTTGGAAGGTGTAGAAGGCATGAACAGAGGAGAGCTATCATTCTTTCCGGAATGGATCCCATCCTCCCTGGATTAGCAACATTAGTTTTCATGGTGCTGGCAAAAAATTTGAGGCACCCCTGAGGAAGTCAGAAGACACTCCAGGATGCCATGGCACCCTGGTTGAGAAATGCTGGTCTAGACAAGGTAACTTAATTGTGGTTCAATGGATGCTTTTAAAGATAAAAGGTAGAGTTTGTCCTTTTTTTTCCAGTTCTAGTAATGGCAGTCACTCAGACAGGAAGTTAGGGAAACATTCTCCAAAAGGGACAGAGAGGTTGTAACCCTTGGTTGCTGTGTGTGTCCATTTTGATGTAATTTCCTTTCCTGGTAACATCCATGACTGAGACAAGCAAAGGACTTATTTCTTCAGTCTAATGCCCCATTCTATCCATCAAAAAATAGCTGGACATTAACCAAATATGATCATCCTGAAAAAATTGTCATCAGTAGGGCCTCGAATGGAACTCATCTATTCCACTGACTGGTAGAACTTCGATGGTTAATAAAACTTGGGTTTCTTTCTTCATTTTTAGTGTGCGTGTTGGATTGGCAAAATGGAATAATCTGCCATTACAAAGTGAATGATCAAAATGAGGATGACAATGATCTATACAACTTTAATTTCCTAATAATTAGTTCATTCATTTAATAAAAAATAAAGATTTGAAAGCAAAAGCAACACCTTTCCTAAAACAAAACTGGAGAAGGCCTCATATATTGTATATGTATGCCTAAAACACACAATTTCCTTCCTTCCAAGGCACCAAGTATGAGCAACACACTTAAGAGATACTCAGTAATGTCTGAGATGAAACAAGAACAATTCATTCAGTATTTCTCCCAAAGGACCATACAGCTCAATGTATAGACATGACCTTGCTGCCGGGGACAATTCACCATGTTGGAGATGAACTGGAT